CGTCACCGGATGAGCATTCCATCTGTAATTGCAGCCATCATCACAGTCGTTCTGGGTAATGTAGATGTAATGCTAATCCCGAGAATAAAGGCTGTCATTCTCGGGTGGTTGACAGTGTACCGGAGTCATCCCCTCGCTAAGGCTCTCAGTGATGTGATTCCAGGATGACAGTGTAATGAGTGTTATGTGCACAAGGTAATTCAAAACAAATTTGGCTGCAAAAATGGATCGTCTAGGAAAGTAAACTCCCGCCTTGTCTCATGGTCCTTTAAGAGAATGTAATGATCCCTAAAATACCCTGTCAAGAAGCTTTGTGTGGCAGGAGTCAAGTCTGTAAAATTTATCTCTTGCACCCCTGAACCCCCCTTCTCCCCACTCGTCGGAGAATCCCAACTCAAAAATATTAATGCATATGTTGGTCATCTAGGAACAGGAGATGGGTAGGGAGTCTTTCAGGACACAGATGTCTCTTAAGACTACCTAATTAGGCTGCATTTTGCTGCTTTGATTTATAGATTATTTTCTCCTGGGGAAATAAGACTTCTGGTGTCAGATTCCCATTAGTACTGGTATCTTAGTAAATTTCCTATTATTTGCATGTGAGGCACTCTTAAGTAGATTATCCCATTAAACTTTGTAATAACCCTAAGAGGCACGACATTATAATTACATTTATTTTGCAGATGAGGTAACTGAGACTCAGAATAGTCAAGTTGTCCAAAGCCCACAGTCAGGATCGCACCCCTGCCTTGGTCTCATAGTCGCAGACCCTGTGCCCTCCATCCCTGAGCTATCACTTGGGAGGAGGCACTCACCTAGATGGTGCACAGGCTTTAACGGAAAGTCATTTGATTAGCGTACACATATGGCCCTGGGCTACTGAAACTGTTCTCATGGGCATAGGTGCCACAGAGGCCTCTCTGTGGCACCCAGCCATATGTGGAGGTGATGTCCTGGAGGGGGACAGGACATCACAGTCACCCCAACATTCCCGCCTCCCCTTTGGCTTTGCCATTGCTTTCCTTCATCCTAGGCTGTAGAGAGGCTATAGATGTTGTCGGACCAGCACCTTTGAACAATACCAAAGGTGGGACGGGGTCAGAAAAGCCTTCTGGCTTTTTGTAATTGTGTGCAGGGAGACACAGGGCAGCTGTCTGCCCCTGAGAATCCTCTTAGGTTAGACTAATACAGGCAGGTCTTCTGTGTTTCTCTTTGTAGGTACCATTTATTTTTTATTTAAAAAAAAAAAATTTTTTTTTAATGTTTTTATTTCTAGGAGAGAGAGAGACAGCGTGAGCAGGGGAGGGTCAGAGAGAGAGAGAGTCACAGACTGAAACAGGCTCCAGGCTCTGAGCTAGCTGTCAGCACAGAGCCCGACGCGGGGCTCGAACCCACGAACCGCGAGATCATGACCTAAGCGAAAGTCGGACGCTTAACTGACTAAGCCACCCAGGCGCCCCTGTAGGTACCATTTAAACATCTGCTCAGTCTTGTAGCGTTGATGTATAAAATCAAAGTAATAGTTGCCATCACTTTTGTATAAAAATGAGCTGATTAAGATCTACTCCAGTTGGAAAAGCATTTTCAGGAATTCTTTCATACAGATGGAAGAATGTGTCTAGGAACTGATCAGAATACATCCCTGATTTTACACTACATCTGTGTGATATTTATACCTACTGGGATGTTCTGGGCTGCAAGCAGTGGAGACTTAAGTGAAAGTGGTTAAAATGGTCTCAAGGATCAGGAGTGTGGTATTGAAGAGAGAAAATTTGGGGGTAAGAGGTTCTAAGCTTGGTTAGTTCATTTGCTTGGTGTTATCATCAGAGACTCCAGTTCTCACATTTTTCTGCTCCGAGTCCCTCAATATATTGTGAACCTTGCGTCAGAGACTGGATCTCAACATAATCCCAGCGTACTCCCCTTGAGGCTAAGCAACACATGCAGATGACTTGCCCAGAGGCAGAAGAGAGCCATCCCCACTTCAGCGGGGACACCTCAGTCACCCTGAGAGGGAAAGCTCCCTGATCTAGTGGAAAGGAAACAACATCTAATCTCTCTCAGCAGAGAGGAAGCAGATGGGGCAAGGAGGGATGCTAGTTGACCAGGTAGCTGACATGGTCTGCTGTTGTATTTGCAAGACCAAGTTGTATAATTCAAAACTAGACTCCTAAGGGCGCCTGGTGCCTCCGTCAGTTAAGCATCCGACCCTTGGTTTCAGCTCAGGTCATGATCTCAAATTTCCGTGAGTTCGAGCCTTGCACAGGCTCTATCGGCACTGATAGTGCAGAGCCTGCTTGAGATCCTCCCTCTTTCTCGGCCCCTCCCCTGCTTGCATTCTCTCTGTCTATCTCAAAATAAATAAAACTAAAAAAAAGGGGGGGGCGCCTGGGTGGCTTCATCGGTTAAGCATCCGACTTTCGCTTAGGTCATGATCTCGCGGTTCGTGGGTTCGAGCCCAGTGTCAGGCTCTGTGCTGACTGCCAGCTCAGAGCCTGGAGCCTGTTTCAGAGTCTGTGTCTCCCTCTCTCTCTGACCCTCCCCTGCTCACGCTGTCTCTCTCTCTCTCTCTCCTAGAAATAAATAAAAAATATTAAAAAAAAAAAAAAGTAGATTCCTAGGATGTATTCAGTTTTAGACATAACTAAAAGACTCGTGGAAGGAAATCTCTTGTTAATTCCCTTTTGGCAAATGGTCTGATATTTATACGTCAGTAGAGAAAGCATAGGCTGGATATATTGTGCAGAACCAGTTCGAAAGTCTTCATGTTTGAGGTCATTGCAGGTAAAACTACCTTCGGTACGAGCCATCCCTATTGACTACCAAGGGCAGAGGCCGAGCATGGCTAGCTGGCCTGGGCCACACCCACATCTCCTACACATGCTGCCTGTGGCATTAATTTAACCTAGGGACACATTGACTATCACATTGTACATTCCTGTATTACTTGACTCTTGGTGTCAGGCATTAATGGAATATACGGCTCAGAGAATTCTGCCACAGCATGAATTTCTCAGATCTCCAAGTCGCGGTTTAACCACCCACCCCCTCCCCTTCCTTCCCAGCCCAAGCACTCAGTACTCTAGGCCCTGAGCAAGGAGGGGGTCAACATGGTCTGCTGTTGGGAAAGCTGGAAAAAATTCCTTTGTGTCCTCAGATCCTCTTCTCAAAGGAGGAGGGGTGAAGACAGTTGGGGTGTTAAACCCTGATGTTCTGGATCCTCCCAGGTAGAGGAAGTCAGGGCTCTTGTGGGAGAGCGAATGGTGCTTCAGCAGATGGTGCGTTTGAACCACTGTGTGGCCCAGAGTTCTTGTTCTGCCTGACTCCCTTGTGATGTAAGTAAATTACTTAAGTAGATTGAATCAAGATCATTAATAATCTCCCCTGGCACAATGCACTTGGGCTTCATTATAAGAAAAGAGTCTGACATCTATTCTTGAACCGAGTAGTTGTTTACAAGATCCTTGGTCCTGAGAGCTCTTGTCCCTGTAGGGCCCGAGTGAAGGGACTTAGCAAACATAGAAAAATGGCCACATAATCAATACTCGTGTTCTGCTCGGACAAAGAAACCAAAGTGCCCTCTGCCTCAGAGGAAGGACCCATAACTGTCAGCGTGCTTTGAAGTACGAGATAATGGGAGGTGGGTGCTGAAGGGAGGATGTATGTGTCAGACAAGGAAACGTTCTGTGTTCCCTGTGACATTTATAAATGAATACTAAAAACATGCCTATTGGAAAAAATGGAGTATTAATCTAAGAGGTTTACATTCAGGACTTCGTTTGTGAAGTGACATGAACTTGTCAGTGTCGTTTTCCAGAGATGTGAGACGCCGAGGAACTTTTGCAGAGGTGTATTCTGCAGAATATGGCTGCTATGCAGTCATCTCCTATGTGACGCTAAAAAAGCAAAGCAACCACTTGGGGAACTTGGGGAATAATATTGAAATATGTCGGGGCCTGATAATTTCGATGCGACATCGCCAAACCATCAGAACATGGGGTCAGTTAAATAGTTGGGCTAACAGGTTGCTAGGAACGGCTTCATAGTGTAGAAACAAGGTTCTGCCTTCTATTTCCTCTTGCATAAGCCAAGCTAAAGATAGCCATGGTGAGTTAGTTTTTATTGGCTGCTGTGTCCAGGATTCTTTCCAATGGTACAAAGTCGTGACCCACCACTACCTAGGTGATGATTTGGTTTATTGGAGACTGTTGGAGGGGGGAGATGGACATGATTTCGGCTCTGCCAGCTTCCCAGACTATGAGGAGAGGAGGATTAAGTGGTAGCTTCATGTAAGTCCTGCAGTAGACAGTTGACAAGCAGTAAATACGGGCACTGGGGATGCAGCAGCAGTGGCTGTACACAGGGGCTGTACACAGTGAGACACGGGACCGCGGTTACGCTAGCGCTTGTTTCCCAAACATCAGACAGAACGCCAGCCATTTGTGTACTTCCTTGGTCTCTGCCAACCCACCTACGGCCTGGCGGATCATTTACTTAGTAGTTTTAATTGACTTTTTTTTTTTTTAACAGAAAAAAAAAAAAAAAGCCAAGCAATTTATTTCAAAAGGAAACTTCCCAGTGCTTCCCTAAAAAGAAAGCTAATGTCACCTGACACAATACACCCTATTAAAACATAACAATGTAATTAATTTCTAGTTAGCTATTATTGCCTGATAAAGGCTCTGAGCCCTGAGGCTGCTCTTTTCTCTCACAGGCGAGATGAGCAGGTGATGAACCTGCGTTAAAGACCCCCCAGGAGGAAGCCGACACTCCCCGCTGTGAGCCTTGCTGCTGAATGCCAGATCTGCAGCCCTGCAGACTCCTTCCCATCCCACTAGGCTCTCCTTGGGAGCCCCCAACCACAGAGAACTGTGATCGTCAGACCCCCTCGCCTTCCCCCCCAACCCCGAGTTGTTATTTTTGTGCACTTAGACAGGAGAACAGTCTTCCCGGCTTCCGCTTGACGATCAGCCTCCCTCACCCTACCTGTTTTCCCACAGGTCAACGGCAAAGACTTATCCAGAGCAACCCATGACCAGGCTGTGGAGGCTTTCAAGACGGCCAAAGAGCCCATCGTGGTGCAGGTGCTGAGGAGAACGCCACGGACCAAAATGTTCACGCCTCCGTCCGAGTCACAGCTCGTGGACACGGGAACCCAAACCGACATCACCTTCGAGCACATCATGGCGCTCACCAAGATGTCCTCTCCCAACCCACCTGTGTTGGATCCCTATCTCCTGCCCGAGGAGTAAGTCACGTGACCCTGCAGTGCTATGTGTTAAATGCAGTAAAGAGGTCCGGAGAAGTTGGTTTCTCCCCTTCCATGTGGGGAAAATAATGTGATGTGTCTTATAATTCTCCAAGTTGCCCGTGATTCGCTTCATTGTTTATGGAGGCAATCAATTGAATCCTGCTCAAAACCACTCTGACATATTAATTACTTTATTATAACCCCGGAGCGGAGTTATTCAAATTATATTCCAAGAACAAAATTACTTACAAATGTCGTTAAAGTTATTTCAGAATAAAATTTAATCACCGCAAATGGCAACATGAAGGTTTGGCGGTGTTACTAGAGGGAATGCTGATGGTTCTTTCAAATAGACAACAAAGTAAGTTGGGAAGGTAAAGAGAGCCCTGAAGGTGGTGCATTCTGCTTTCTTGGGTCTCGTTTCAAACCTGGATCTGTGTTAATAAGCCCACACATGCCTCATATAAGTACTGCATTTACCGATTAAGTAACAGCTGTGATCCAACATTGCACATTAATTACTTTACACACAACTCTCCTCTCACCTTACTCCCTGCCAGAGATAGAGAGGGGCTTGGAGCCTTCAAGTCAGAGCAGCCTGATGTGCACACTTCTACCTAGCTGGGCAGCTGTAGTACTTTACTTTAGCCCCATGTTAGTAAGAGGAAAAATAATAATAGCACTTAGTGTATAAGAGTGTTGGGTTAAAGGAAATAATGTGCCATAATAAGCGGCAGCAGCAATCATCATTAATTTAGTGACAGATTAAATATTTAGGGGAAGTAAATGAAGAAATTTTTAAAGATAGACCACTGGCTGAGAAGCTGTCCCCTTTAGCATGTGATTTTGCGTATGTGAGGTCAGTATGTCCACCTCCCCACCTCAGTCTCTAGGTGACGTGAGAGTCACTCCTGGCTCTTCCTGTCCTGCTCCTCATTCCAATGATTGACTTGCTGCTCTATTTTAAAGGTCATTTTACCTCTTCCAGGGCAGACCTCTGAGTGATACCTGTTGGGTTTCTGTTAGCGACTCCATAGTGGAAGTGAGCACACGCTTCCAATGTTCCGTCAGGTGCCAGACAGGCTTGCCTTTCAGCCCATGGTGTTGCCTGTTAGCTGTCACATGAACCCAGGGCCAGCCGCCCAGGCCTGACAAAGCCACCTCAGCTGCAGCGGACATTGTGTCGGGGGGGGTTGCGGGGCACCGAACACACACATGGTAGCGTGCAGACAGCTGTTACCTCAGGTACATGTAACGACTGCCCTTCCTGTGCACGCTCACCCGTTCTCAGCTTCTGTTGGCAGCCGGATCGCAAGGCAGGTCCCATCTCACCTAAACTTCACCGAGTACAATCGTTCAAGCCAGTTGTTTGACTTTATAGACCCGAACTGCCTCAGTATTGATGAGGCCTTTACGGCAAGTCTTGACTCTCAGATGGTGAACTGTCATGGTGATGGGCCTTTTAGAAGCCAGACCTTTAATTTCCTCTTAAGTCTAGTTAACATGACATGACTTACCCTCAAGGGGAGACTTGAGAAATGTCAGTAGAGTCCACAGGTCACCCCGGGTTCGGGCTGCAAGGTCAGAGGATAGCAAGAGTGCACGTCGGGAAGGAAAGGGGAGCGTTAACTTGATGCTTGAAAGCCCAGGCCTTCCCACAACCTCCTCAGTACTAAAAGCCCCTTAAGTGCTGGCAGTATATTTACCTGATAGGTGCTGGTAAGTCCAGAAAATTGAAAGCCAGCCCTTGTTTGGATGACCATTCATGTCTGATCTGTTTTTATAAAACGAAGTGCGTGGGAGGGAAGACCATCGATTGCTCTGCTGACCTTTGAGAACAGCAAGGTTTGAGTCCCCAGTCAACTGTCAGGCTGAAGCTTTCCATCCACGTCTGGCACCTTTCAGAGTTGCCGGCCGAGCCTCATAGCATTCCCACTGCCTTTGCTCCTGGATGTTCCATTAATGATACTTAAGAGCCGGTGGGTTGTGTAAATAGTGTTTCACACACGTCGTCCTAGAGAGAGAGACTCAAGTGTCCATTCTCTGAGCAGTGACTGTGTACCCGTGTGTGCTTATCTGCACATGCAGTTTATGTGTGCATGTGTGTATGCTCACTGCATACCTGTCTGTGCGTACAGGCTTTTCATGCCAGATGTATTCCTTGTTGGAGAACAAACACGAAAGTTTGGAAAGACACTGTCCTAGATGACAGCATAGCAGTTTTGGTCATAGCCCTTCAGACCTGTCTCAGAGGCCAACACGTGTCTTTGAATGTTGCCTCAAGTCCAGCCTTTTTCTCCCCAAAGATAAAATCTAACAGGCAAGAAGCACGAGATAGGAGTACATCTCCTACCTTGAGATTGAGTTAGAAACGAGTCCTGTTGGGGCGCCTGGGTGGCTCAGTCCATTAAGCGTCCCACTCCTGGTTTTGGCTCAGGTCATGATCTCACAGTTCGTGAGTTCAGGCCCTGCATCAGGCTCTGTGTTGACCATGCAGAGCCTACTTGGGATTCTCTCTCTCCATGTCTCTCTACTCCTTCCCCACTACCACTGTCTCTCTCAAAATAAACTTAAAAAAAAAAACCTAAAACAAACAGAAATGAGTTCTGTTGACACACATGACTAGTCAGCTGGGGGATGGTCCCTGGGAGCACCAAAGGCTGTCCCACTGTCACCTCCATCTTCTTCCAGGGGGACAGACTTTAGCGCAGAGGATGGAAGTGTTACGGGGAGTCCTGACCCCACTGGGAAACACAGCCAGGGAGAAACTAGCAGAGACAGTGCCCCAGGCCCTGAGAACTTGTGCCTCATCACAGAGGTGTCTTGTCACGGAGGTGGGAGGGGAGGGGAATGACAGCAGCTACTTCCAAGTGCAAGAGGCCTGAAGGGTCTTTCTTCTGTTTGCAGGCATCCCTCAGCCCACGAGTACTATGACCCCAATGACTACATTGGAGGCATCCATCAGGACATGGACAGGGAAGAGCTGGAGTTGGAGGTAAGAACAGCCTTGTCTAGATTTCAGGGCTCATTACGAAGACTGCCAGGTTCTCTGTAGGCATAGTTTATGGACGTTGGTAACACAGCCACTGTGAGTGGATTTCTTTTAAAAGAACTACTTTCAGTCATGTGTTTCAAGGCATCATTGAGCTTTTCTCCCAACCCCCTTCAAAACAGAGCATAACAATCAGATCCCGAAGCAGAAATCCAGGATTTTTTAAATTGAAATTACTTAAATGATACGGTAGTAAGTCCTGTTGGAGATTTCTGAATTCGTGTAATCTCCTTCCCATCAGGCTCTAAACTCTACACATTGTTGTAACTACAGTGAGCTTCCCCACCTTTCTACTCCCCAAGTCCTCACCACTTTTACTCAGAGGTGAGGATAGGTGGATAAGGGATTAGCTAGCCCAAGCCAACACCAGAGGGTTTGCCCAAAGTTTACAAACACTGAGCTTGAAAAAATTAGCACATCTGTAACTCTCCTTAATTTTACTTGATGCCAAATAGGACTCAAGAATCTAGAGGATGAATAAAGTCACACTGGCCTCTAAGATGTTTTCAATTTATTTTTCTTCCGGTATAACTAACTTGCAGTGTTACGCTAGTTTCAGGTGTGCGATACAGTGATTCAGCAGTTGTGGAGTTACTCAGTGCTCATCACCCTAAGTGCTCTCTTAACCCTCCTCACCTGTCACCCATCCCTTCTCCCTCTCTCCTGGAGGACATCAGTTTACAGAGTTCGTGTTCTCATTTGTTTTTTAATAAGAGTGATAGAAAATAAGAGAAAAGTCACATTTCAACATATATTTATTTATACTTTTGGGTAAACACTCATTCCTCTGTTTCATAGTGTTTTCAAAAAATACAAAAGTGTTTTTTGAAAAGTGACTTTACGGAATAAGATAATTGGGAACTTGTAGAAAGATTTTGTGATGTCAGGGGTAAACCGTGCATCACCATCGGAAGGTAAGCTAGGAAAAACCCAGTAACGCTTTGTTCAGCTGTGTGGCCAGCGCCGTGTGATCTGGGCCGTGCCCCCAACACCTGTGAGGTTGATGCACTGTGGAGCAGCACGGGAGTGGGAGACAGCTGTGTTCCTCCCGGTTTCTCGCAGTTACCAAGGAGTTTTATAGCAGAACAGAAGCTTAAGATCCAAGTGTGCAAATAACGCCTTCACTGGTTGCTCCCCTACAGCCCAGTGCAGGAAATCAGTGTATTTGGCATGAGAGTCATGACTGATTCTGGGACATTTCTTTTTGAAAACATAAATGTCCTGCTAAAGGGCTATGCTCTAAACTGGAATGGCAGGAATTTAGACTCTAAACTGCGGTTCGTACTCGCCACCAGCCGTAGACCACGGCACTTGCCGTCCACTGATTGCTACATGAAATGTGGCCTGTGCCTTTCAGAAAATGAACGATTCTGCCTTCTACTTATACTTGCTCATCTCCCCAGCTTCAGGGCTAGTTCATGAAGCAGCCAGTCACCCCCCCACAGGACACTAGTTGTTTAACGGTGTTAATATACGGTGCTTACAAAGGGCCTTCCACATCCATTTCAGAATGGTCAGAGTGAACCACAGTGAGATCTTTGTCATAGAGGACTTCTGTGACAAACAGAAGTTCAAGATGACTTGAATATGCTAAAGAGCATGGTAAATGCCCTGGAGAGGGAGAGCAAACACAATAGGCAGAATTGCAGACACCTACTTCTCTTGATCTAACAATTTCTCTTTGGTCAAGTACCTGTTAACGATTCCTGGGTCTGGAATTCTCTGGAACAGTGCTTTACAAGAAGAAGGGCTATTTAATAATCTTTATAGGACAACACTGCTTTTTGATGATCAGTGTAACTGTGACAGAGGTCTTTAGAAAGCTATTAAATATCCAAGGAGCTGGATTTATGGAGCCCATTTGACCTTTGAACAACACAGGGATTAAGAGTGCCGACCCCCTACACAGTCAAAAATCCGCTTCTACCTTTTCCGTCCCTAAAAATTTAACTATTAGCTTACCGTTGACCAGAAGCCTTACCAATAACATAAAGAGGTGAATAACACATATTTTGTATATGTGTTATATACTGTATTCTTTTAAATGGGTAAGCTAGAGAAAAGAAAATAAGGAAGAGAAAATACATGTATTACAGTGCCGTGGTGTAGTTATCCAAACAGTCTGCATGTAACTGGACTCACGCATTTGAAACCCATGTTGTCCAGGAAATCAGCTGTATACTGTAAACTTGGCAAGTCATGGGCACTTAGTTACACTTGAGAGAAGTGAGTTCTTTAGTTCTGTTTTGGTGTCTGACACCTTTGACATCCTGATGGAAGCTATGGTTTCTTCCTAGAAACATATTCCTGTCTAAAAGAGCTTGCAGGTGGTTTCTGGAAGGTCATCGGGCTCCTGCAGTATCTGTGCAATCTGACCTATTCTGCCTTACAGTTTGTTACATCTGAACACCACCAGAATCATTGTTTCCTTTCTATTTTGCTTTAACCCAAGTCATTTGAACTAAGGTAAATTTATTTTAAAGGAAATCAGCATCAATGGCCACATATAGAAGGTGGTATCCAACACGGACAGTGGCCACCAGTCAGTGTTATCACATCCTGCCATTCACTGGTGGTGCCCGGCAGGGGCTGGGAGCCTGGGGCTGATGTGCCCCACTCCCTCCTGTTCTCTTTCTTAAGAGATTAGCTTGTGTGAAAGAAGTGTTAAGACTAGCCCAGACTGCGTCTGCCTTTGTAAAGGAAGTAGCTTTCTCACCATGAACTATCTTCCAGCATCTTGCTTTTAGTAGAAGCCACTCTAAAACAGTTCCCTAGAACCTTCTTATTCAAAATGTGGTGATAGGAACAGCACAGCATCACCTGGGAGAAGGCAAGAAATGCGAATCTTGGCTCTCAGACCTACCGAGTCAGAATCTGCATTTTAACAAAATCTCTGGGTGTGTCAGTGCACATTAAAGCTGGAGAAGCCGTGACCTAGAGGTAAAGACGTCCAAGCTTTCATTTGCTCTGGTCATGGGTCAGAGCAGTGAGGCTTTGGTTGTGCATTTCATCCTCTCTCCTGTAAAGATGTGCCTCCAAGTCTCCAATGCCATCTACCCTTCCCCGGGCAGAGTGAAGTCCTACGGACTAGAAAGGACTAAGCACCTTGTAGACACGCGGCACTAGGCTAAACCTTCTTTCTTTTAATGATTAAAAAGCAGAGGCCAGCAATCCCAAGTATTTAGAAGAGTAGTTGAATGTTAGACCTCTGATGCCTTGAGACTTGACATCCATTATTATTTTCATTTCGACTTTGCCTGCTTTCACTGAGCATCTGTTATGTTGAATACACTGGGGCTAGAAATGCCAAATCAGGAGAACTTTGCATCTCCTAAGAAAACCAATACAAGGTCATGGGTCCCTGCTAGGCAGGAAGGCTGCTTTCACATTTGGACTTTTGTCCTTAGCAGCTGAGATGTCACCAGGTGATTTCTGTTAACTAAGCACATGTCATAAAGTGAACCTGGTGGTTTTGGAAAAAAGGTCCATCCTGAGTCTAGTGGTAAGGACTCCAGAGTCTTCCTGGAGCTCACTGTGGCAGCTTCCCGGGTAGCAAACAGTGTCTTTGGCTCCAGTACTTTCTGTTTCAGAGGCATTGGAAGGTGATCTGGTCGGTTCCAGAATGTTAGTAAACAAACCTCAGTACCAAGAATTGGGTTTGCTAAAGCAGACCCAGTGTTTGGGGAGACTGACACATACCCATCATCCATGCTTTTCATGAGACTTCTTAGAACAACCAATAGTCTGTCTCAGCTGCATTCCATCTCCTTGGCTTCCCCCACTCTGGGCGGGGGGGGGGGGGGGATTACAGAAGGAGCAGGCGTGTTTTGAGTTAGGGGCCTAATCTCAATACATCACTCATCCTCGGCATTGAATGAGATCAACATCCACACTTTTCAAAAAATAACCAGTTCCATAGATAATATATAGGAGGAAAATACATGAGTGTATTGGGACACTGTTGGAGCAAATGCTTAGAGAAAAACAGATGTTCTGTCTTTTAAAGCACACAAAATGATCGTATTTTGGTAAGTGTCAAATCCCTGTTATTGCGGAACTGTGTAAAGCTAAAAGGATTATACCCAAATATGCCCAAGGGTCGAGCAGCCACATAATTACCCATAAATTTTCAGGTACTGAACACCTGCTCTAGGTCTTCCTGTAGACAATTAAGAAGGAAAATAGATGTCTGAAGAAGGTTTTTTCCTTCATCTATTGTTTTAATTTCCCAGTTGCTTCATCAGTAGCCGCCTCTCCAGGCTCTGAAGCTCCCTTCACGAACTCTGTTGTGTTCTGATGATGTAATTTTGAGGTGAGAAAAGGGAAGAAAGCCACAGTTTCCACGGGGAAACTAAAACGTCTCTCAAACCTGGTTTCATCGACTCCTCTAGGTAGATCACTGGGAACTTGGAATTGTCCTGGAGATAACATAGGATGCTTGGCCAATCTACTTTTTCTTTAGCCTTTCAGGGTTCCTCCCGGGAACCTTCCCCGGTCAGCCCTGCCCTCCGTGAGTCAGCCTCCTTACCCTGTTAGTATAATCAGCACTTTACCATTCTTTGGACTACCATCTGCACACTAGAACCTCCCACCTGTTCTTCTCTTGGCCCAAATAGTACTTGCCTAGATCCTAGCATGGCTCAGTCCAGCCCAGTCTTTTGTCCAAGTGTCACCTCCCAGGAAGCTTCCCGACCACTCTAAAGCATCCCTATCCCACCAGTGCCATCTCCCACTTACCGTCTGGCACCCCCACTAGAATACAAGTCCCATGAGAGCCGGGCTCTTGTCCAACTCGTTTGCACCTACAATCCTCATGCCTAGATCATGCTTGGCACACAGTAGGTACCCAGTGAACACGTGCTGAGTGAAGGAACAAATGCCTTCAAATGCCTGTCCCAAATGAAGGTTCGTGAAGGGAAGTGCATCCCCTTTACAGACACATCTGTGTGGGATCTACCCCTGTGCACAGACACTGAAAGGGTTGAGACAATTTCAAGAAATATGCACAGCAGTTCTGAACCGATAAGGTAGAGTTAGGCTTCAGTGACTCGTCTTCCCAGAGTGGGATAAGCCAGTGAAATTAGTCTTTGGGATCCCCTCTGATTAAAGTGGCTGATGCTAAAACAGAAAGCTCGAATCACCCAGGTGGAATGGCCCCATTAATTCTCTTAATTGGGCTATCGTTTCAATTTCATCTGGAAATGTCAGGCTTAGCAGTTCATTTTTATCCAACAGTCCATCTAGACCAGTAAGCAACAGGACACCGGTGGTGGGGGAGCTGTAATCCAGATAATGCTAATACATTATTCATACCAGTTTGATTAATGGGCTTCTTTGAAATCTTATCTCCATCATTGCAGACAGATATGTATTGATAACCTCTAAGCTTTCAGTGATGTGCTCAGTTGCGTAAGTCTGTGCCTTTAGCTTGGAGTCAGAATGCAATGTTGAGAATTTACAAACCACCCAGGGAGCTTGGAGAACTGTCTGCTAAAAGCCCCCAAATACCGTATCTGGTAATGAAATTGCAGAATAGCTGAGAAGTTTGAAAGAAATGAAATGACTTTCCCAAGAGCCTAGCTTGTGAAGGGCAGGGCCAGGATTGTTTTTCACTTGGAATTTTTTCTGCTTTTGAATCTCAAACTCTTTCATTGATTTTGAGTGCCTACTGTGCACAGTATATTTGGCCAGACACTTGTTTTTACTACACAAGTCATTATTCGGCTACTGTTGCTTTACCGTAATCCTCTTTATGAGCAACCAAGATAAAAGTCAGATTTATATAGAGAGCCAAGGCGGTAGCAGTAAGCAGTTCTTACCATGTTGTTTTTCAAGAGCTTCTGAAAACCTTTTATGGTTCACTGTTTGCTTAACTATTAGCAACCAGGCTCTTCTTTATGATGTTGAACCATCCCTTGGAAATGGAGTGACCATAGCTAAGTTACACCATATGTCTTCTTAACCAAACTTGCCTGGCTTTTGTTTAGAGCTCCTTAGAAGATTGAGCTAACACAAGGAAACATTATAGCCCAAGCCATCTTATCTAGTATCAATGTCAAGTACATACGTGGAGTAACCTCCTGAACACCCTTTCCTTTATTATTGCTTGAAATGTAATATCAGCATCGTTCATCTGGTACCACTCATCCTTTTTAAAACCAGACCATTTCTAAGACACTTCTTCTCCGCAAAGGACTAGCCTTAAACTAGAATTACACTCCCATTCTTGAATCTCTTTTAGAAAGTGAGTCCTAAAGTCTGCTTCACAGCCAAGTGGAATTTTGGGATGGGGGAAGGGGAGACAAAGCTTTAACATTCTCAGGGCAGGTGTTTCCGAGTAGAGCTGGCTTCTGTGTTCTGTCCTATCACATGGTGTGGGTGTCGTGCTAGGGCCAGCTTCGTATCCATGTCAAGGATGGAATTTGGCTTTTGTGGTAGTTAAGTCAAATCTGACCAAAGTAAAAATGTGACGGTCGCCCCAACAGTCTGCTTGGGAGGATGTGCAATGGGATTTAAAGGCTAAATGCCATGTTGGCTAAATCTTTCCACTGTAGGAAGGGAGCCCTGCCTTCTCGGAGCATCACTGCCTGGGGATAGGTCAGGTAAGGAGGGCCTCTGGTCCCCCATGCAAAAACGGGGGAATATTTCACTGTTATGTGTAATTTCCAACAGTATTTAGTGGAAATCTATTATTACTTGCTAATCACTTGTGGGGTTAATGACAGAATATAAACTGTGTTCAAGGAGAGCATAACATGGCATCCTTGATTCAATTATCAGGGATTCAGGGAAAACTCTTTTAAAGCAACTAACACGTAAGGATGTATTCCTTTCCAGCCTGACGTTTTGTTGTAAGAAAGTTTTCTCCCTGGTTATCAAAGATTCCTTGAAAGGAATTGGCAGATTTAGAAGGGAAAAAGTTCTCCTACCAATAGTAACAGGAACATGAATAGTAATGTCCACATTCACAGCTCTGCAGTTTTCCAAATATCTGTCAATCAAAATACTACCCAAAAAAACATAGTAGAAATGATTTTCAAGTTAGATTTTTATTGAAATCAGTTACTTAGCCCTTCAGATAGCACACTCTACATTGTGGGAACTAGGCCAAATAAAGGTAAGCCTTTGTTACACAGCCGGCCTTCAGCTATCATGTCCCTTATGAGTCTTCCTTCTTCCCACTAGAATAACCATAGTACATTACGCTCTTCTTTTCTAAGACGTGATTTCCAGACTTTTCACTTTCCTGGGTTCTCAAAAGGGAGCCCTCATGGAGCCGTGCTTCTCAGGCTGTCTATACTGAAAAACTATGATGACCAGGTCAACCAGTTCGTTTAATTTTCAGTGTGTTACTGGTCAATAATACGTGAGACTATATAGCTGACCCTATATGCTGCTTGCCACTTGAGTCCAGAGTACCTGAACCCATAGACAATTTGGTCAGAGAGACAAGCTTGCAAATCTTGTTCTTAGATGTTATGACAATGTCCAAATGCTGTAGTAGTTTCTAGTTTCTAAAGACTTCCATCAGTGTCTGCACTAACTTGCTCAGAGCCACACGTGGAAGCACACTTTGAGTACTGGGATCAAGCCCAGTTCGACTCTGATAGCTTTTATGCTTAGATACTCACCTTGGTGGCCAACTATTTGGAAAAAGCTGTAACTCATGCTACCATTTTTAATTCTGTTAAAAGGAGTATCACAACATTCATTGTCTCTCTCATTTTTCTTCCTACAACCTTTCCAGTTCTCTCTCTGATTTGGCTGCACAGGGACCTGTTCCAGAACCATCTGGCTTCCACCATGATAGATAGCACAGGGCTCTGTGGCAGCATTTGGCTACAGTTGTGCAGTGGGACCCAAACAAATCATCACGAAATTGCGCTGATTTGCACTAAGTGTGAGAAGGGCCAAAACAGAGAAAGCCTTCCCTCTTACCCAGACCCAAATGAAGGGTAACCTGGGACAGAGATGTGGGCATGTGCTTGCAGCATAAGAGGAGGAGTTGTGACGAACCATATATTTGAGGTATGCAGACTGGCTGCTCCAAAGTATGTGGAAAGAATTGGCCCCTGTAGTTAAACAGCAACCCTTAACCTCCATTACTGTGCTTAGTCCAGTTCTCAAAACATGAGAACTTTCCATCCAACTCAAGAATCAGAAATTGGGATCTCATTTAATGAAAATTGGCCATATTGCTAAAGCTATAATTAGAAAGCCACTGAATTAATTAACATATCAATGTTCAGGAAATAAAGTCATCTCATTGGGTGGGAGGGACATGTGAAATATGCCCACCCTGCTACAAGCAAGTTCTGGGACTTGAGGCAAGTCAACACCCCTGCAGTGTTACACCCCCATTTCCTACTGGCTTTCTGCAGGCCAGACACCGTGTTGAGAGCTCTGCGTGCCTTAACCTCAGTGAGTCTAGACCATGCCTCAGGCAGCAGGATGGCATTTCCAAGCGAGGCTTAGATACAGCAACAAGTACATGACACAGATGCTAGAAAGAGGTAGATTGGGGATGTGAACACAGGTCTGCCTGTCTTCGCAGCCCCAGTTCTTCCCCACCACATTACTCTCCGTGTATCAGCCCGAGAGACTGCTGAACGTCGTCTGTCAGATTGGAGCAGTCCTCACATGGTCCCCTTTTTCATGGGTTCCCATGATGCTGAAATAAGCTCAGAGCTCCTCATCCTGGCCTGTGGGGTCCTACCTAATCTGGCCTCATACCTGGCCATGCTCGGCACACCTCTCTCGTTCTTGCACACGGGGCTTTGGCATTACTGGCCCCGGACATTTATACACTGCTATTTATTCTTCCACCCTGAAAATATCCATGGTGTAGGGTACCCAGCCTTTCACAGGGGAGGGTTAAGGAGGTTCCTGTTACACAACTGTCTTGAGCTTTCCCACAAAAACAACTGCATCCTTCCCACCCTTCCGGGATAGTATAGAGAGAGGAAGTGGTTCCCAGAGACTGTGGTTTCGAAGCCCCATTCTCTCTGAGCACCTCTACCGTCCTGGGTGGCAAGCAGTTCACAGTAAAAACCAGGCCAGGAGACCTGGTGGGGACTTTCTTATCAGGCAGCCCTTCAGACAGGCCTGTGGCTCCCTGCTGCAGAATGTCGTGGGGGTAGTTGGCAGTGTGGTAGAGAGGGCACGGTGGCCTGTTAGTGCTTGCAGAAAGCCCAGAACTTCCCAAGACTCCCAACAGCTTTCAAAGTTCTGACTTTGTTCTGAAGCGCAGACTCCTTGTCAGATGCAGTGGCGTTCCCTGTGCTCATGCTCTCGCATTTGGGCTCACTTTGCTTTTATCTTATTTAATTTGCAGTAATAGCGGCTGAAACTAATTTCTTGACTGTAAATATCACAGCTGTTGTGGAAAGCATTAATTGCGCGCTATCACGTTACCCTCCTTTCTTGGATCAATTTATGTGTAATCTGTTTGCAAGTTCTATTACTGTGAATATTAAGGGAATGCAATGTGAAATCTACCCGAACACATTGGAAACATTTGTACCAAAATGGCTGGATGGTTTGGGCCATGGAAATATTCTCATTTGTGGCAGACATTGAAAAAATGCTTTTTAAAAGCCCTACCCCAGAAGTCTTTGACACTGAGTGAAATATAGGCAATTCTTCTTTTGGGGGATCAATAAAATAACTATTTTCAAAATGACTTTATATTGACTGAAAGGTCAGAAATGCCGTGGGCATTGATCCTGGGTCCATAATCACTTTTTGTTTAGTAAGTTAACTGCTCTACACAAATATAAAGAACTCCAGTTCATCATTGAAACAAAATAGGTTTAAAGCCTGTGCACCCCCCCAGCCCCGCCCCCAGCTTCCCCTGCCTCCTGCAGGCTCACTGGAGATGCCCTTTCTTTGTCTAGGAAGTAGATCTCTACAGAATCAACAGCCAGGACAAACTGGGCCTCACCGTGTGCTACCGGACAGATGATGAAGACGACATTGGGATTTATATAAGTGAGGTATGAAGGCTCAGGGTTTCTGTCCTCTCAGGACCAGAGGAGGGTTTTTTTTTTTCTTCTATTATGTATTAACCAGCCTGACCTCTGGCTCATGGAGAAGTCTTTGGAAGGACACAAATGTCTTTGTCCCCTTCATCACACAGTCCACAGAGTTACATCTCTACATGTGGGTGAAGTTCAAATGTCAGCACATAAGGCGAAATTACCCTGGAGAAGCCTGCAAATCGGCCATAAAATGGAGCCGTTTACATGGTTTTGTGTGTTCAGCCCCCGGGGGAAGAACAGATTCACATTTCCCTTCTCGTGTTCACTGAATGGAATGGTGGATGGAATCATTTACATTCTTTAAAGTATTTCTTGATCTCTTTTTTTTTTTTTTTCCCCTTTTGGTTGAATGTGTATATAGTTGAATTCACATAAGTTAAATGTATGTTCAAAGTACGTAAATGGGAGCTATTGTGATCGTATTAGAGAAGATAGCACAAAGCGACTGATGTCAGTGTGGATCGTTGACCAGACACTCCCATCCGAGCAAGGGCAGAAACTCCGCTGTGTGAGAAAATGACCCCCTCTCTGTGGGAAGAACAAAGTGAAGTGTTTCCTGGGCTTAATCATTATTCCTTTGGACTCACTTTGTTCACCAAGCTTAAGAAGGTCCACCCTGACCTTCCTCAGGTCCAACTGCAGTTGGAGGGATTTTTCCCATACTTAATCCCACCAGTCTCAATTATGTTTCATTTTTAAAGCTGTTTTCCAAAATGGAAGCATTTAGTAAAATCATCAAGGCCGTGACTGCCGGTGAACCTAGTGAAGGGCGCCCCAAAACCTGCTCAGCGTCACACTGGGCTTTTTGTTTGTGTGAATGCAACCACAGTCAGCTGTGCGTCTCCATCCATTACGCCCCCAGCGTCTGCGCATGTGTGACAGGGCCACCGGGCAAGGGCCCGGGAGCACACCCAGGAAGGGACTTGGAAACTGAGCGACCTGTGCTGATCTCTCTTTGCATGATGCAAAGTTTTGTTCATTTCTATCCGTGTCTCGGTTATCCACTCTGTGCTGACATGTCCATTGTGTGTTTCAGATCGACCCTAACAGCATCGCGGCCAAGGATGGGCGCATCCGAGAAGGAGACCGTATTATCCAGGTAGGGCGGCTTCCAGCCAGCAGCCTCAGCCCCTGCCTGTCACGGGATAGCACATTTCATGGGTGACATCAACAGCTTTAGGGTTGAAAATGCAAAAGAGGTTAAAGAACAAGGATTACCCAATCAGATGCTGGCTAGGGAGGCCAGACAAGTTAAATGGATGAGTCCTGTACAGGCCCCGGAAAGGAAGATGCCCCAGGGAGTAGGGAGACCTTGGGGAGACTGCAGAGAGTGCCCAGCACTTCACAGAAGGCGAACTTCGTTTCTTTTCATTCACTTTGGGGAAAGACGGCACGGCAGGGGCCCAGGTCAAGTCCATAATTTTGGCCAATTGTGAACCAGAATAATTCTCATTAAAAAATTTTTTTTTAATTTTTTAAATTTAGTTTTGCGAGGCAGAGCACCAGCAGGGGAGGGGCAGAGGGAGACACACAGAGAATCTGAAGCAGGCTCCAGACTCCGAGCTGTCAGCACAGAGCCAGACCGAGGGCTCAAGTCACGAACTGTGAGATCATGACCTGAGCGGAAGTCTCGTGCTTAACTGACTGAGCCACCCAGCACCCCCACCCCCACCCCCACCGCTTTTTAAATTTTTTCAATGCAGAATAATTCTTGTTTTACATTTCTTTGAAGGATTCATTTTGGACCACATGTGTCAAGGTTGGTCTTGCCCTGAAAATAGAAAATGGGCAAATTTAATAACATAGACTAAGAAGCCTTTTTACTTTCATGAGGTGACATTCACAGAATGGCTTCTGTGAAGTTTCTTTACCAGGAGTCCGAGTGCTCCTGGGACTCTAAATGAGACCAGCTTGTTTCAGCGGCCAACTTTTTTAATCTCACAGAAATTGAGATTCTTTGCCACAAGGCTTAGCGTCTGTCTTCCCGGTCATACCTTCTTGTTTCTAATCCACCATGTTTATATCTGCCATTACACGCCTCACCACGATTAATTTTTATTTTCCTCTTCCACTGCTTATTCTCCATTTCCTCAGACTTCAACCCAACCCTCAGCTGCTTAAGGACCCTTTCCTGGTGGAGTAACCCAGACCTTGATTCCTAAATGCCCTGATGCATCTGCAGTCTGGTGTTTGGGTTCCATTAGCATTTACCACGGGGTATGGAAGTACTGGGTTCTGGACATGGCCCTGCCCGCCTGCCTCCACTGGGAACAGGGTTCAGTCACCCCAAACACGAGTCACCCCCTTTGCTGCCTCTTGGTTCAGTGGGACCATCCCTGTGCCCCCTGGAGGAGTCCTCTGCCCTGGGACTGAAACCTTCATACCAGATGTGACATAGTCCCTCTCACTCGACTTTCTGTCCCACCTAAAGAAGTTTGCGGTGCCAAACGGGCACCCAGAAGCACCGTGGATCATCCCAGTTCCTTGTTTGCCTTCAACTTCCGTCATGGTCACATCAGCCCTGCTACTGCTTTTGCTCCTAGAGTCTCTGAAAGTGTCTCTAATAATGAGTCCGTACATTCCCTTTCTGTTCCGGCCGGAGTATGATGTCTGATTAAATTGCTCAGATGTTCCCTCTTCACAACATGGTGATTTTTCTCAGTCTGCCTTCTGGAGTCTCAGCGACTTCTGTTCCTGGAGCTGGCACATTAGTAGCCTTCTATGCCTGTCATGGTGATGGATAGACTAGTGCGAGCAGGGCCTTTCTTTCTGAAAATGAGCATCCTTTGCAAGTTACATCCAAGTTCTGTGTTCCAGCTGTGACTGGGTGACACACAGCAGCCAGGAACAGTCTGGAATGATTTTGGATGGCCTAATTATGCTATGGTCCACCCCTCCGTCACCTCATCACTTTTTTTTTTTTTTTTTTAAGATTAATGGGATAGAGGTACAGAACCGTGAAGAGGCTGTGGCTCTTCTAACCAGTGAAGAAAACAAGAACTTTTCTTTGCTGATTGCAAGGCCTGAACTCCAGGTGAGTCCCCTTCTGCCGATGAAGCAGGGTCTGTATTTCTAAAGCCACAAACCCAAATCCATTGGCCCTACAGACCACTGCCCATGCACTGAGTTTGAATTTGAATGTACTCTGTCCTCTGAAAAAGTAGTCACGCTTGATGTGGCCCAAAATCTACTGTAGATTTTAAGCACTTAAGGAGAGGGCTGACAGGCAGCCCAGCATTTGTATCACAGGCCCAGCAGGCTCATTAGCGTGGGAATTATAATTTAGGAGAAGACAAGGACACGTGACAGAATGGAGAACACAGCCAAGGTCATAACCATCAAGATGTTTGAGTTCCTACAGCTTGACCAGTGTCCCAGCCTAGATCCACCGTGTGGACCTCCATTCTAACCACAGAGCATAGGGAACCTAAAACACAATGGCTTTGGTTATTAGGTTGACTGTCGGAATCATTGCACTATGTTTATGTGTAACATGTACATCATGATTTTTTTTGTTGTTTATTTCTAAGAGAGAGAAAGACATCGTGAGCAGGGGAGGGTCATAGAGAGAGTGGGAGATAACAGCATCTGAAGCAGGCTCCAGGCTCAGTGCTGTCAGCACAGAGCCCGAGGCGGGGCTTGAACCCATGAACCGTGAAATCATGCCCTGAGTTGAAGTGGGACGCTTAACCCACTGAGCCACCCAGGCGCCTCTATCATGATTTAATAAACATAAAATATAATTTTTATTTTAAAAACCCAAGGAATGGCTGGTCAGAAAACTTTCTTAAAAGGCCAAATAATATGTTTGCCTTTGGAGCCATGCCACCCCCAGTGCACTTGCTAGACTCTGCCACAGGAGCACCCACGTGGCCATGGATGGAACACACCCAGCAGGCCCTAGTCAGCCTGTGGGCTGTAACGTCTCCGCCCCCTGAAGCGTCTACTCTAGGAAGATAGGGGCCTAATCACAAGGGATGGGTCTTGCCCGAGACACTTAGGGGGCCTGAAGGCCTGCAAGGCTGTCCCCCTGCAAAAATAACACCGTGGCCGCCAGAGCCTTGGCCAGATACAGTGCAGGGTGAGAGGTTTCTTTCATGTGAGAGAGGCCAGTTTCCTGATGGAAAGCAAACCAAGGGGCACATTTCACTTTCATGTCTCCCAAAAGGAGCCAGAGAGCCAGCCTTCCCCAGGATAAGGTTCTTGCTTTGAAAAAGTGAGTAAAACGAAAGGCATCTTTTCTGAGGCCTGTGTGGGCTGCTGCTTCCTCTCCCCAGCTGGACGAGGGCTGGATGGACGATGACCGCAATGACTTCCTGGACCACCTGCACATGGACATGCTTGAGGAGCAGCACCAGCAGGCCATGCAGTTCACGGCCAGCATGCTGCAGCAGGTAAGGCCACGGCCCCACACCCCTCACCCCTCTGAGCGCTGGGAAAACGCGCAGTGATGCTGAGGACCATCAGAAACCCACCGGCCTGGAAGGGGGCAAGGAAACGCAGTGCTTATCTGTTTGCACACCAACAAAATGCAAGCTGCTGGTCTCTCCAGCCAAGAGAATGCAGCTGGGCTTTTAAAGCTGAGCACTAATGGGAGGTAGAGCTGACTTGCTGGCCGTTTGGAAAACACATGGGCCAGCTCTAACACAGGTCGGAAAACAACAAGTCATGTTTTGAAATGTAAAGCAATTCCCTGGCTGTTGCCTGAGCCGCTGTGAGCCCTTTAGCCCCTTCTGTGCCACCTCCATGGTCAGAGACCTACCTAATAAGGCACTAATTGAGTCATAAGGCCCTACAGGCTTCCTGCTGTCCTTGCACTGGGTCCTTACATGGCTAGGATCATTCACTGAGGTGAGGTGTCTCGTCCCTTCAGTTCGCAGGTGGGAGAAGTGAAGACGAGAAGGATCGGTGTTCAGCCAGCGTAGGTCTGGCCATATCCTTGAACTAGTACTCATCCCATACGCTGCCCCTCAGCCTTAGAAAGCCAGAGCCTGCCCTGACATCCTTGTTCTCCAGCAAGGGGGGAACCCAGTAACCACAGGCGGGGCCCTCCCTCACCGTGGCCGTTTGTTCTTGTTCTAGAAGAAGCATGAAGAAGACGGGGGAACCACAGACACGGCCACCATCCTGTCCAATCAGCATGAGAAGGACAGCGGCGTGGGGCGGACAGATGAGAGCACGCGCAACGACGAGAGCTCGGAGCAGGAGAACGCCGACGACGCCACCGTTTCGTCCGCCCCGCTGGCCGCGCAGAGGAAGCTCACGTGCAGCCAGGACACGCTGGGCAGCGGCGACCTGCCCTTCAGCAGCGAGTCCTTCCTGTCGGCGGACTGCGCCGACGCCGACTACCTGGGCATCCCCGCAGACGAGTGCGAGCGCTTCCGGGAGCTCCTGGAGCTGAAGTGCCAGGCCAAGAGCGGCAGCCCCTACGGCCTGTACTGCGCCAGCAGCCCCCTGGACGCCAGCAAGAGCGACCCCGAGAGCGTGGACAAGGAGCTGGAGTTGCTGAACGAGGAGCTGCGCAGCATCGAGCTGGAGTGCCTGAGCATCGTGCGCGCGCACAGAATGCAGCAGCTCCGCGAGCAGTACCGCGAGTCGTGGATGCTGCACAACAGCGGCTTCCGCAACTACAACACGAGCGTCGACGTCCGCCGGCACGAGCTGTCCGACATCACCGAGCTGCCCGAGAAATCCGACAAGGACAGCTCGAGCGCCTACAACACGGGGGAGAGCTGCCGCAGCACGCCGCTCACCTTGGAGATGTCCCCGGACAACTCCTTGCGGAGGGCGGCCGAGGGCGGCGGCGGCGAGGGGGCCGCGGGCAGCGCGGAAGCGTTCGGGCCGTCCCCGAAGAACCTGCTGGCCATCACCGAAGACCCCGAGCTGGGCGGCGCCGGCTACAGCCCCCCCACCCCTCCCCCTCCTCCTCCTCCTCCCCCTCCTCCTCCTCCTCCTCGGGAGCTGGCGCCCAGCCCGGCCCCCGAGAGCAGGGAGCGGCGGCCCAGCGACGACAGCGGCAGCCCCGGCCCCAAGCTGGCCGGCTCCTACCTGCCGCCCTTCCCCCACTCGCCCTACAAACACGCCCACATCCCGGCGCACGCGCAGCACTACCAGAGCTACATGCAGCTGATCCAGCAGAAGTCGGCCGTGGAGTACGCGCAGAGCCAGATGAGCCTGGTGAGCATGTGCAAAGATCTGAACGCGGCCGGCGCGGCCGAGGCCCGGCTGGAGTGGAAGGTCAAGGTGCGCAGCGACGGCACGCGCTACATCACCAAGCGGCCCGTGCGCGACCGCCTGCTGCGGGAGCGCGCGCTCAAGATCCGCGAGGAGCGCAGCGGCATGACCACGGACGACGACGCGGTGAGCGAGCTCAAGCTGGGGCGCTACTGGAGCAAAGAGGAGAGGAAGCAGCACGTGGTGAAGGCCAAGGAGCAGCGGCGCAGGCGCGAGTTCATGATGCAGAGCAGGCTGGATTGCCTGAGGGAGCAGCAGGCGGCCGACGACAGGAAGGAGATGAACATCCTGGAACTGAGCCACAAAAAGATGATGAAGAAGAGGAACAAAAAGATATTTGACAATTGGATGACGATCCAGGAACTCTTAACCCACGGCACCAAATCCCCTGATGGCACGAGAGTATACAACTCCTTCCTGTCCGTGACTACTGTATAATTTTCACTTCTGCGTTGTGTACATAAACGAGAACGCTACCGTTGGGGTAGAAATTCCTGCCTCGTTCAATGCGGCAAGTTTTTGTATATAAGAGAAATACGGTCATCCTGTTTATAGTCCAGATTGACCAGCTCTGCAACTAGCTCTATTTTAAATGGAGAAACACCACCGGTAACCAAGGCAATATTAACAAACAGAGCTTTTTTCAAAGAGCAAATTGTACTTTTTTACTTGCTACCTTTTACATAAAGTGTTTAAATTTCAAAAAGATCTTTTATTAAGCATACTTTCACAGAATAATTTGTTTAAACTATATTCATACAAAAAAGTTAAACACGCTTTTTTTTTCCTGCCGAAAACACAGGTACGACCGCCAGTATGTATTTTTAAGGGAACCCTATTTTATAATTGTTACTTTGTTGGATGTGTTTCATATGAGTGACCAGTAATATATGATTTAGGTCAAGGCTTCAACTCCAAACTACCCAACTCTGTGGTTAATGATTTAATATACATAACCACACCAGCAGTGCTTAGAGTTGGGATACACATTTAAACATTTTTCTGGTTAAAGTTCCCAAGAGTGTGTAAAGGTTTGAACAGAAAGCCAAATACCGTGCAGCTTTATGGAAGTTTAAAGCATGTTTGCAAATATTGCAGCCCGATGGAAGAATTTGCATGTACAGGAAAGTCGTGGGTGGAGATGGTTTGTGGAATTTTAAGTGCTCATTTGTAGTAAACCTTTGCTTTGTAGATTGGAAGGGACAGAGTTTTACAAGCAAGCTCACGAAATCATGATTAGTTACAAACATTAAGTAAAATGAAGTTAAAATAAATTATTATTTTCTATTTGATATGTTCTGAAGTGACTCTTCATTTTTTGCAGTGGTGCTGATAAAATAAAAACCTTTTGTAGTGTTGATTTTTTTTTCTTCCATTACGTTATCTACTTCCTTGGGAGTATTTGAGTCTTTCAGATCATCCAAAGCCTGCATTCTGCCCAGAACCCAAAGATAGACGTGAAACAAATGTCTGTCCGTGAAGAATAAGGCATCAAACTCACCATTCAGTCCTGCATCCTGACTGCTGGCTTGCAGAAGGCAGCAACCCGGCCCAAGGATAAGCAGGAGCACGTTCATCAACAGGGTCATGTTTACAATGAAGTCTCTTTGGTCTGTTGCAACCATTTGTCGCTCCCAGTAAAACACCTCTGGGTGGCTGGACCCAACTTTCCATTTCTGCACATTATCTGGTAGTTCCAGAATATAACCCAAGTCACCAAAATGAGTGGGTTTCCAAACGGGTGTCTTTTAGAATCCCAGCAACTCCCAGGGTCTTAGATAATGAATTGGCTACAAATTGTTCCCTGGCTCTATTGTTGACACCAATTGCAGCTATAATACCTATTGAAACCAAAAAATAGGATTTGGAAGGGTGTCATTTTCATTTGCTATGATGTCAGACATCTGGCTTACTCATCTGACCAAAAATTTGATTGAAATGACCAGGTGTCTAGGCATCTCACAGATTCCTCCACTGTGCCCTACTCCAACCAAACTGCCTTCTTTGGAGCTAAAATCTTGAGACTAACAAGCAGTCAGTCACACTCGGCAACAGAACAACTTAATGAAGGTAAGACACTGAAGTGCTTAAGATGTCTGTTCACTGCCTCCTCCAGATGAGGCCTTGCAAAGGGAATTACATCTGCTACGTTAATCAACCCTCCAAAGAAGTTTCTACAAAAGGGTGGACTATTAGGGGCATGGTTTTCCAGTATACTCCCAAGTCCACCAGCCAACAGAACAAGATCCTCGTCTCCCAGAAGAGGTGCATCTACAGTGCTCTCTTACCTCACACCCTTTCTTTCTAGTCTGTTTCACAGACAATGAACCTGCTACAAGACCCTTGGAAGTGTGCAGGTTTCCATGGGAAAGAGCTTTCTTCCCTCAACTGTTCTCATTCAAGGTCAGAGGCATGTATATGGCCACAACAATAAAGAGCTCCACTCCAGTCATGTGACACCAGAGTTAGGCAGAGAAATCTCTCATCAGAGCTTCCCATGTGCCTCCAGACTTAGGAGTCAGCCAGTGCCACTTAAAAGCAAATCCAATTCTATATCCTTCCATTACAACTTCCTTTTAAAATCACTCTGTCATATAAATTACATTTGGTCATAATTTGCATTGTGACAGGTTTCCAACTCTGAACAAATCCACTCCGAAAAGAAATTAGAAGACACATCAAATATCATCATTCTATCCATGAGCAAGAGGCTCAAGGAGACAAATGTGGCTCATTTAACAAACAAATGGGGATTTGAATTCAGAACCCACCACCTATTCCCACAGCTGTTATTGGCATGGCCACACAGGAGAGGTAGCTGTCATATATTCAGTTAATTAAGACGCATTCAACCCTGTGCCCTCAACCAAAAAGTAAACCTATTTCACCAGTGGATGCCCTGGAGTGAGCATAAGCCAGGAGACATGAATCTGCCATTTCTTTTGTCAATCTGAGCTCCCAAGTGCCTGGTGGTGCCGACATTCCCCAGCCAGTGGGGGAGGTGAGGGCTTTTCCTGGGTAATGGTGACAAGAAACAATTTACAACTTCTGTTCCCACTGGTGTCAAAGCCTAGTTCTTGTGTAAACAGAACTTCCTCCATAACCAACAGAATTTTCTACTGCCCGAGCTGCTGACACTTTATTTCTCTTATTTCCTTGGCCCATGTAAGAACCTGACAGAAGCTGTGGATTCTTTACACAGAAAAATATACATATAATAAATTACACTGAGCGGCGCCTAGGTGGCTCAGTTGGTCAAGCATCTGACCTCAGCTCAGGTCATGATCTTATGGTGAGTTTGAGACCCGCATGGGGCAGGGTGCTGACAGCTCAGAACCTGGAATCTGCTTCAGATTCTCTCTCTGCCCCTCCCCCACTCATACTCTCAAAAATGAATGTGAAAAAAATTTTTAATAAAAAATAACACTGATAAGTTGGGAATAATTTTGAAGGCCTTAGGTGCCCCCAAAGTCCATTCATGGACCTCCTCTTAAGATCTAAAAACCTTAAACACTAGACCAAATGAACTAGACAATTGTATGGATTTCGTTTTCAAGCTGTTTTTAGCGGTATCTAATAGCACTGTTTGATTTGCATGCCCATTTTTAATATCAAGCAACAAATTTCTCCCCATTAGAACCATATTGCCTATGGCAATTAAAGTTCAAGAAACCACCAGCAACTATAACAGTCACTATGCTCACGGTTATTCCTCTCACAGCTACATAAATTTCAGGACTTCAAGGACAGATTCCCACTTCTCCATATCAGCCACTCCACTGGCTGGAAAACTTAAGTTTAAACAATACTTCTAAAATACAAAGGAAGAGAGGTGCCTGGGTGGCTCAGTGCATTAAGCATCTGATTTCGAGTCAGGTCTTGATGTCATGGCTCATGAGCTTGATCCCCACTTCGGGCTCTGCACTGACAGTGCAGAGCCTGCATGGAATTCGCTCTGCCCCACTCTCACACCCTCTCTCAAAAAAAAAAAAAAAAAAAAAAGGTGGGAGGAGGGCGAAGATGGAAATGATAACATATTAATGATTCACTGATACATGGTCCAATACAGCAATACAGGAGCCCCTAGCCATATCTGGCTGTTGAACATTTAAAATATGGCGAGCCTCATGTGAAATGTTTTGATAAAATGAATTTAAAAGACTTAAAAAATTTAAAAAGGACCTATTTCAATTTGTATGCATAGTGAAATAATATTTCACCCATGTTAGATTAAATAATTTTATCTTTTTCTTTAATGTGGTTCCTAGAAAAATTTTAATTATGTATGTGACACATAATGTATTTCTATTACATAGCATAGATTATCAAGCATGTGTGTGCAAAACCACCTTGTGGTCTCACCACACCGGTGGAGCAGTTCTGCAAGGCAGATGGCCTTATCAACCGTTTAGACCCAGATTACCATGGCATTTGCCCAGTTGAGTATAAGGAAGTGATCTGAATTTGCAACCACCTGATGCCACACCCTTCACCTGTCACCACAGTGCCTCCATCCCCTTCTCAAGGCCTCACCTGAAGTCTGTTCAAGTTGTGTTATTACTTTTAAGATGATCATGATTGCAATCAAAGAAATAGCTTCAAAATGACAAGCATTTTGCTCAGTTCCCTTTGAGTTTTTAAATTACAGAGTATTCTAAGTCTCCTGGCAGGAACATACAACAGACAACACATAAAAATACAGGAATGTGGGGGCACAAATTAAGCTTTTCATCTTTTCAATGAAAACAGGACATCCCGAGTGGCAAGGATCACAAATGTGATGAGGTAGGACTACAGCCATTGCCTGGGGAATACTGGTTGGAGAACTAATTAGTATCATAAACTGAAGTATGAAAATTTACCAAATAATTATCTACTGGTAGCCTTAGAAGTAGGTTACAGGTCACTTGTTAGCAAAATTGCCCCAAACCAAGAAAGGAAACGCGGTTGTGCCATAAGCAAATGCAACTCCCAGTTTTATTTGTCTCCCGATTGTTTGAAGCACTTTAGGGTTTCTGCAGAGCAGCAACTAATTAAAAAGGAATCACTAAAACTGAGATACGATGCAAGAATTCTCATGGCAAATGCTGCAGCCTTCAATACTGATTAAATGTGAATTCCCTGAAGCAGCTACAAAACAAAGTGTGGTTCTTTGGGTTTTCTTCAGATGGGTTTTTCTGCTTAAATGATCCATTTTGTTTTAGCTTCCAGTTTGAACTGACCCTGCAAGAGCGCTGTCCACGGGGGCCTGTGATTTGCCAGTGATGTGGTTTTGCCTCTAGATGGTGGAGCGCTGACCTCGGTGCACTTGGCTACTTTTTAAAATGAAAAATGGGCCATTAACGACTCTTTATTCAGTGGGGCTACTAGATGGTTAGACTTGCTTACCACTTAGGTGAGTCTTGCCAAAGTCCACAGAAGCCAAATGAAACTGCCTAGACCTCAGCTCCTCAAAAATACATTAGGACCCGGGGCACCTGGGTGGCTCAGTCGGTTGAGCGTCCAACTTCGGCTCAGGTCATGATCTCATGGTTCGTGGGTTCGAGCTCCACATCAGGCTCTGTGCTGACAGCAAGTTAGAGCATGGAGCCTGTTTCAGTTTCTGTGTCTCCCTCTCTCTCTGCCCCTCCCCCACTCGTGCTCTGTCTCCCTCTGTCTGAAAAAAAAATATATATATATATATATTTATATATTAGGACCAGGTTGAATAGTGCATTTAGCCCCCCTCCTTAGCTGCCACCCTGGACATTATAGGTTTGACTGAGCATTTTCAGCTCTGAGGAACTGTTACCACCCCTGTGCTCGAGGAGCTACATCGAAAGACACCACAGGTTTCTTCAGCCAGTAGTTTTTTGTGCCCACATGGTTTAAGGCCACAGTGAGTTCACATAAAGCTTATGGTCTGGTGGGAAAGAAAAATAATAGTCCAATCCTCACAAAAATACTTGAAAAAATATGTCAGCATGGTTAAAGGAGGGGGTGGATGGAGACCTAGTGCCACAGAATTCAAGGAGGGTCTCCCAAAAAAGTGATGCTTTAGCCTAAAGCCAATGGATGAATGTGAGTTAACTAGCAAAGAGAGTGGTTATATTTAAGGCAGAGGAAACAGCATGCACAAAGGCCCTGAGGTGGGAGAGACATGGCTTATTTGAAACAAACAAACAAAAATGCCCAAAGATACCCAGTATAACTTATGTTCAGAAAGCAGTGGAGAGAATGGTGTATGATAGGACTCATGAAGTAGGAAAGAGCCAAACTCTCTGCATGACCATAAATACGTATTCACTATGGC